ACGGTGTCTCTACACCTCAGGGTTCGTGCCTACTCCCTCCGCTTGCAGCTTTGCTTCTGCTGCTGCAGCAGCAACAGCTGCAGCAGCAACAGCTGCAGCAGCAACAGCTGCAGCAGCAACAGCTGCAGCAGCAACAGCTGCAGCAGCAACAGCTGCAGCAGCAGCAGCTACAGCTGCTGCGGCGGCAACAGCTGCAGCAGCAGCAGCAGCAACAGTGTTTGCTTGGATGGCCCCGCGGCCCTCCAGTCTATAGTATGGAGAGGAGTCTAGTCTTAGGTGTATGTACACCCCACAGCTTCGGGTGTACGTACACCCCGAAGAAGTTGCAGCAATCCGCAGCTGCTGCTTCCAAACAAACAAACAACCAGTCCGCTGCAGCAGCAGCAGCAGCAACATCTGCTGCTGCTGCTGCTGCGACTGCTTCACGCGGGCCCGCTGCTTACGGGCAGTCAAGACGTTGACAGAGACAGCAGCAGCAGCAGCAGCAGCAGCAGGACGGCAGCAGCATTGTGCTGCAGCACGAAGCTAGGAAGACACAGCCGCTGCTGTATCGCTTTGGCAGCAGCAGCAACTGCAGCAGCAGCTGCTGCTGCTGCAGCAATTAGAAGGACCTGCCGCGGCAGCCCGCCACGCAAGCGCCCATGGCGTCGTGCAGGCCCACGTCTTGTAGAGACACCTGAGCAGCAGCAGCAGCAGCAGCAGCAGCAGCAGCTGGGACAGCTTACGACAGCACTATGTCAGCAGCAGCAGCAGCAGCGGCTCGGCCAGTAGCTGCCTTCGTGGGTTCTACAGCTAGCTTGGAGGCGACCTAGTCCTTGCCGTGCAGCGCAGCTAGCCACTAGCTAGCTAGCTAGCTACCTAGCTAGCCAGCCAGCTAGCTAGCTGGCTGGCGAGGTGGCCGTCCCCAACTCGCCAACCCGGCAAGCTAGCTAGCTAGCTGGCTAGCTTAGCAGCCAGCTACCTTGGTGGCTACCCGGCTGGCCGAACGGCCAGCTAGCTGGCTAGCTGGCTGGCTAGCTAGCTAGCTGGCTAGCTAGCTAGCCAGCTAGCTAGCTAGCTAGCTGGTTGCGGGCTGACCTCTGCACGGTTAAGAAGTCTTCTGCAGTTGTCTCCGCACTGGTCCCTGAAGCCGCAACACGCAGACAGCAGCTCCGGCGCTCGCTGCTGCTGCCGCTGCTGCTGCTGCTGCTGCTGCTGCTGCTGCTGCTTACTCTGTGACGCTGGGGCCAAAGGAACAGCCCTCCTTGCAAGCCCCCACTTTGGCTAGCTGGCTAGCCAAAGCCTGGGGCTCCGAAAGGGGCCAGCGGCGCTCGCAGCGGTCGAGGCAGCGGCGGGGCTGTGGGGCCCCAGACTTTGCTGCTGCTGCTGCTGCTGCTGCTGTCACCGCTGCTGCTGCTGCTGCCGACGCCGTCGGGCTGCACCGCGCCGCGATGGCCGCCGCAGCAGCAGACACCGGCGGCTCCTCCCCCACAAACTGCAGCAGCAGCAGCAGCGAACAAGCGCCAAACCCAAAACCCTTGATGAAGGAAAGCGACTCACTCTGCAACAAAGACTAGGGTTTAGGGCCGAGGGTTTAGGGTTTTGCAGCAGCTCATGAAGTCTTCAAAAGAGCGCAAAAGCCGCAGCAGAGGCAACGGAGGCCAAGCAGCAGCTGTAGCAGCAGCAGCAGTGGCAGCAGCAGCAGCAAGGGCCCCCCTGCCAAACCCTTGGACACATTGTCTTTTGCTTACTTCCATGATGGCCGCGCGGCAATCGATAAACCCTAAACCCTAATACCCTGGCCCACGTGGCCCTCGCTGCTGCTTCAACTGCCGTTGCTGCTGCTGTTGCTGCTGCTGCACCTCTCGTTAATGCGGGCAGCTGCTTCGTCGAGCGAGGATCTCTAAAGCTGCTGCTGCTGCTGCTGCTCGACTGGGCAGTGCCACTGAAGTTGCTGCTGCAGCAGGACGCGTTGCTCCTGCTGCTGCTGGTTCGAATTGTTGCAGAAGCTATTTGCGAAGCTGCTGCTTCTGCTGCAGCAGCTCTAAGCCGCAGCAGAAGGCAGCAGTGAAGAAGTGGCGCAGAGGCTCGCAGACACTCCGATGCTCAGCAACAGCCGCGCTGGCAGCAGCAGCAGCGGCAGCGGCAGAAGCAGCAGCAGCAGCTAGGCTCTCTAGCTGCTAAGAATGACACAGAAGCAGACTAATAATAATTTAAATTCAAAGAAAAACAATAGAAAAGGAAGGTAATCAGAACGGACAGCAGCGCCATCGAAGCATGGCGACCAGTAGCAGCAGCAGCACAGGCAGCAGCAGCAGCAGCAGCTGCTGCTGCTGCTGCTGCTGCTCCCTTGTATGTAGGAGCGGCTCTGCTGCAGCTGCTGCTGCTGCTGCGCTCGTAAATTCGGGCCGCGCTTCTGCCTTAATTCAAAAGCTTCGAAATACAGAAAATAAGGGCAATAAAATTAAATTGCGGCAGTGGTGGTTAGTTGCTGTGCTACCGGTGCAGCAGCAGCAGCAGCAACAGCAGCAACAGCAGATACTGCTGTTCCGGGGACAGCAGCAGCAACCTTGTAAATCCGGCTCATTCGCGCGCACAAGCAGCAGCAACTAAGGCAGAGCATTCGCCTAAACTCACTTATAATAGATAGAAGGCATTCTGCTGCTGCTGCCGCTGCTTCTAACGCAGCAGCAGCAACAGCAGCAGCAGCAGCAGCTGAACAGACACGCCGTTGAGTTCGCTGCGCAAAGTCGGTGAGGTGGCAGCAGCGGCAACTCCACAAAGTCCGCAGCAGCAGCAGCAATAGCAATTACGACAGAAGCACACAGAAGCAGATGCTGCTGCACCACAGTAAGCAGCAGCAGCATCAGCATCAGCAGCAGCAGCAGCAGCAGCAGCAGCCGCTCGACAGACACATCAACGCAGCGCCGAAGCGGCCAGCGCACGACTGCGGCGCTTGAGGGCGAAGCGCTGCAGCAGCAGCAGCAACACCGACAGCAGAAGTACCCATCACACAAGCAGCAACGGCAGCAGCAGCAGCAGCAGCACCAACTGCAGCAGCAGCTGCTGCACGAGTGCAAATGAGCGCGCTGTCGCACGAACAGCAGCAGCTGACGGCGCGACTGACTTCCGCAGCAGCAGAACCAGAGGCAGCAGCAGCTGGAACAGCGACAAACGCAACAGCAGCAGCAGCAGCAACAGCAGCACAAGACACTGCAGCACATGCAGCAGAGGCGGAAGCGCTCGCAACGGCGCTGCTGGACCTTGCACAAGACATTTGGAGCTGCTTCAGGTCGGAGCAGCAGCAGCAGCAGCAGAACGGCAGCAGGTGCTCTGCAGGCCCAAAGGAACTGCTGCTGCTGCAGCAGGCAGTCACAACAGCAACTGCTGCAGCAAATGCTCTGCTGCAGCAAAGGGATAGGGAGCAGGGGCCCACCAGCGCAGGGTCGTTGCATCTCCGCAGCAACAGCAGCAGCAACAGCAGCAGCAGCAACAGCAGCAACAGCAACAACAGCAACAGCAGCAGCAACAGCTGCTGTTATTGTTCCAAACCGCCGGCGGCTGTGCTTCTGCAGCAGCAGCAACAGCAGCAGCGGCAGCTAGCCTCCCCCTATTCTGTTGCGGGGTCACCTCCCTTCCCTTCGTGGGCGAACGACAGCAGCAGCAGCAGCAGCAGCAGCAACAGCAACAGCAACAGCAGCAGTGAACGGTTTCTGCAGGTGCTGCCTCTCTGCCTCCCCTTCTTATCGCTGGAAGAAAGAATTGGCTGTGAGCTAGGGTTTAAGGTTTAGGGTTTATGGTTTAGGGTTTAGGGTTTAGAGTTTAAGTCGTGGTGCTGTAAGGCCCACAAGCTTGCCACGTGCTCGCGTGCGGATTGCTGCGTGACTGCCTTCGACTGGACATCCAAGGTTTAGGGTTTAGGGTTTAG